ATTTTGCGAAGAATCGCGCGATTGCGTTTGAGAGTAATTATTTCACGCCGTTCGCGCGAACGAAATCACTCGGCGGTTCGATCCCGCGATCGCGTTTCAATTCTCTTCCCGGCGAGATAAAAGATACGCTCGGCGTCGATATTCCCCCGATATCCAACGAGCGATTTAACGATGAAATTTCCAGAACAATCATCACCACCAAACTTCGGGACTCAAAGTGGATGGATCGCCGTGCCGGCGAGGCGAGGCCTCTGTAATACGCTTTAATGAACTCTAATGGAATCCAATCGGCAATCCTCGAGAACTTCGAGTCGTGCCAACACGTTCGTTCGTGCCGGTAATACCTACGGCCATACATCGCAGCGGTGCCGCGCAAAGTGCACTGCTTATGATAGATCGTCTCGACAATGGAGGCAGAACATCGTGCACGCGGTATCTAAGCCCGGATCGTAAATAGTAACGTATATAAGCCATAGCACGCGTATGCATCCATCCACCGCGTTATATGTGCGGCGCTATCGCATCCGTGCCCGTTTTCGCCAGTATATGAAACTCGAAGATTTTTGCCATTTCCCTTCCGCACTTCGCGCTTCCCGCGCGGTTTTTACGTTGCGATTTACTCGATTTTACACCGAGCGCTTCGAAAATTTATTAAGAGATTTAATTCAATAAAGAACGAGGCGAATAATTTATAAGATTATACCTCAAATGTATCTATTAGTACTTGACGAATGGATTTTACATTATTCGGTAATTAAGTCTTTTTTAACTCGTCGGACTTGCGACCTGTTGGGAATTCTATCCTTAATACTCTCGTAGATTAATTAGAGATAAACCCCCCATTAATCATTATTAAAGGTAACTTTCATTTATTCTTTTACTTCCTGCAATTTAATTGGAAAGTTAATTAAAGATATAATTACAAGGGAAAAGAAGAATATATATTCTCTAAATAATAATTTTTGTAACAAATTGATGAATTTTTAGAATATACGTAATAAAGGCTGAACTTTTAAATCACGCAGTAATGCATTTTAATTTAAGTACTTAATCTGAAGAATAATTGCTAAATTATCGAACAGCCGCATGCAATATTCGCAGAAAAAGAATATTCTGTTGCAATCTGAACGAATAAGTATAAAACATTATTTATGATTATATTTCTTTTTCTATTTTTTATTCTTGTTATTAATCTTGAAAAATGAGCAGGCAGCCAGAATAATATGATCTAATTTTTAAACAAACTGTTTTACTTTAACAATAATCTTTTTAACTTTTACGATACTAATTTCTTATTATGTACAATGAAAAATAACATCTTCTGCATCTTCTTCACTCGTTTGTCGCTTCATTTGATACAAATGGAAGAATTCCTATCCGCGAGAAGACGCGGCCGCGATGTAGAATGAAACTTTCACGAAGCTGTAAAAGCACAAGGAATCCTCGAGAGATGTTCGCCAGGAATGCTCGTGGAGCTGGCAGCGCTGATGGATATGCCTCTTAAGCTCGATAAAATCGGATGCAATGACGTCCGCGCTTATTTCTCTTTTCTTTTTAGCTTCCGCCCAGTTTCTCCACCTTTCGTTAACTTTCAGCGGCCTTATTCCTCCCGCACAATCAAGCGAGCCCTTTGCTCGCAAACCCCGGCACCGGAGAAAATTGGTGGAGCGCCTCGGCGCTCGTAAAGCTCCATGCTATCCCGAGAAAATGAGAACTCGCGTGATCGCTCTTTAATCACGCAAGAAACCGCGGCGCTGATCGAACACGGCGTGAAAGCATCCATCAGCGACTCGTGAGATATGGCGAAGTATCGATTCGATGCCGTGCACGAGATTGCGCTGGCAACGATGGCCGCCGTTACCGTTGAAGCGACTGCCTTTTCGGCAAGAACGACGATAAACTGAATTTTAAAGAAGTGATGTTTTCCTTCAGCGCTTAATGTACATACATGTGGCTATTTTGAGTTAACCGTTAATATGAGAGATTTTTTTAAAGAGAGATCTATTTTTAACGTTCGAGATAGCGCAGTAATCTATCGTAATCACTTTATCCTTAATTTTATCTTTAACGTTCATTCGTAACTTTTATCTTCTCTTTACCAGAAGAACAGAAGTTAAGGGAGAATTTCTCAATTGTAATCCGTTTTGAAAAAAACGGATAGAAGTCTAAGATTTCGGAGATACACGTTTAGGAGATACTAGTTGATACTGCAATTTAAGTAAGTTATAATACATGAAACATTATAACTTAAAGTCGGTTAAATTCCAGTGTGACGCGTGCAAAATTCTCCGCTAACATAACATGCGCTTCATACAACGCTACAAAATTTTACCTCGAAAGCAGCCGCGCTCGCAGTTTTCGCGCGCAGTCGACAGTAGTACGAAAATTAATTTTATCATGCTGGCAGTCGCGTAAATCGCCACATAATAATGCGCTGTGCGTGAATTTCCCAGTTGGAAATATAATTATGCACGAATGAGTCACGTGGAAATTTCTGACAGGCACGCATAATTATCGATCTATCTATCAATATAATTCTTATCGAATAATCGGATAATTTTTTTTAACTAAATTCTTCTCAAGAAAAAGAATTTTGTAATAGATTTAGCGAATTAACGCATCAAGCTGAATAACGACTTTCCATATGTTGAATTATAAAAACGTAGAATAACTCTTTCCATGAATTTGCATATCGCTAAAATTATGCTTCCGGAAGAGAGCAAAGAGTCACGAGGGATCAAATCGACCGTAGAGGTTTAAGCAATTTGGCTTATTACATCGAGAATAAATTCCTGATGAGTTTTCCCCTCGAACGAGCGAGCTCTTATCACTGTTCTAAAACAAATTGTCTGTTCCTACGAAACGTTGATTGTTATGATTAAGAAAATCTTAGCCAAATTCAGGCTGAAAATTATATTTTGTACTGATAGTATAATCTAAATAAATAATAAAAAATATTAATATTAATAATTTTAAT